ATTTAATCTTTATTTTTTACAAATATTTAACCTTTAAGTAATGTTCTATGTCCCGTGAGGTTATGGTTCGGCCAACATTTTCTCACAAATCATTAGGCACTGCAGTATCATTTATTAGATAATCTATCTTTCTCTCAGCAAAATAAATTTATAATGTATTCTGGAATCTTGAAAAAATAAAGAGAGACATGAGGGCTTGGCTTTTCACTCTGTTCTCCACCACATGAGAATACAAGGAAAATATGACCATCTGCAAACCATGAAGCAGGGCCTCAACAGAAAATGGATCTGCTGGCACCTTGATCTTGGACTTTCTAGTCTCCAGAACTGTAAGAAGTAAATGTTTGTTTTTTAAGCCACCCGGTCTGTGGTATTTTGTTATAAGTCTGAACTAAGAAACAGACACATGAAAATTTGTGGGATGTAATTAAAGCAAAACTTAGAGGGAAATTTATAACTTTATTTATTTAGAGAGAGTGGGGAGAGGTAGAGGAAGAAGGAGGGAGAGAATCTTAAGTAGGCTCCAAACTCAGTGCGAAGCCTGACTTGGGGCTCAATCTCATGAACCTGAGATCATGACCTGAGCCAACATGGAGAGTCAGACTCTTAACTGAGCCACCAATACACCCCAGAAATTTATAACTTTAAATTCTTATATTAGACAAAAAGCAAGGTACAAAATCAATGATCAAAACTTCCACTTTATGAAGCAAAGGAAGCAAATAAAACCCAAGTAAGTTTGAAGAAGCAAATAGTAAAGATAAGAACACAAATCAATGAAGTAGAAATAAAACGAGAGAAAATCAACAAAGCTAGTAGTTTGTTTTTGAAAAGACTAATTAAACTGATAACCCCTAGTTAGAATGATCAAGAAAAAGTCAGATAAAATACAAATTATAATCACATAAAGACAAGGACATCAGTAGAGATCATATAAACATTTGAGAGGTAATTTGAGAATATTATGACAATGTTATGCCCATTTGATCTCTTAGCTGAAATGGATAAATTCCTTGGAAAAACACTTGGTCAGAACTGATGTAGGAATGCATGGAAAACGAAAACATTCTTCTGTCTATTAAAAAATGGAATCTTCCCACAAAAAGGATTTACTGTTGAATTATATGTCAAATATTTGAAGAAGAAAAATATGAGGAGAGAAAACTTTCTAACTTGTGTGATGAGCTCAGCATAACTTATTACCAGAGAAGGTAAGAGAAAATTAAAGATTAACATCTATCATAAATATAGATAGAAACATCTGCAACAAAATATTGGTAAATAAAATCCAGCAATATTTAAAAAGGATAATACATCATGACAAAGTGTTGGTTCAGCGTTTGAAACCAATCTACGGAGTTTATCATATCAGAATAAAGGAGAACAGTCACATACCATTTCAATGAATGTAGAAAAAGCATGTGACAGAATTTAATGCCAATCATGATAAAAGCTCTCAGCAAATTATAAATAGAAAAGAACGTCTTTATCTGATAAAAGACATTTTTAGAAAGCCCACAGCTAACATTATACTCAATGATGACATTTATATTATTGGAACAAAGAAAGAATGTGTCTTCTCCTATTTTATTCAATGTTTTATTGCCTGGCAGTCCTTGCCAGTGCAGTAAAACAAAAGAAAGAACAAAAAATATAAGGCATACAGATAGGAAAAAAGAAGTAAAATGTTCTTCATTCATAAGTGGCAAGATTTTTTACCAACAGAAAATAGAAAAACAAAGGAATCTATTTAAAAATCATGCCACAATTAATATGTGAAGGGAATAAGCCTGCAAAACACAAGGTCAATATGTAGACTGACATAAGACAATTAAATATGAAATTTTTTAAAAAAAATCATATATAGTACCTTAAAGTAAAATAGTTGAGAGTCAATATAACGAAAGAAATGCAAGACTTCTAAAACCTATATAAAACATTGCAGAGAAAAAACAAAACAAAACAAAAAAAACATTGCAGAAAAATTAAAGAAGACCTAAGTAGATGGAAGGCTGTGTCAGTGTTCTGGACTGTAAGACTCAATATTTGTAAGATTTCAGTTCTCTCCAAATCGACCTACAGATTCAGTACAATTTCAATCTACTCCAGGGGTTGTTCTTTGTGAATCAAGAAGCCGACTCTAAAATATATATGGAAATGCATAGGATTTAAAAAAAAAAGAAAGAAAAGAAAAAGAACCCACCCCGCCCCCCCCCAATACCAAAACCTCGTAAAAGAAGAATTAGGGCTCACACTATTTTATTTCAAAGTTAATATAAAACTACAGTAATCAAGTTAGTGTTGAATTGGTACATTAATGGAACAGATCAGAGAAGTCACAAATATATAGTCAATCGATCTTTGACAAGGATGGCAAGGTAAATCAATGGAGGAAATGATAGTCTATTCTATAAACGGTGCTTACATCATCTGCTTTATATAAAAAAAAATGAACTCACATTCCTAACTTACACCATATGAAAAAAATTAATTTGACATGAATCATAGATTTAAAGGTAAAAACCATCTGAAAGAAAACATAGAAGAGTATCTTTATGATCTTCAGATAGACAAAAATTAGGCAGGACTCAAAAATATTCTAATCATTAAAAAAAAAAAAACCACCTAAAAACTTGGCCTTTATCAAAACTAAAAAACTGCTTTTCGAAAGACAACATCAAGAAAATGAGAAGGCAAATCTCAGATTGGAAGAAGATATTCACAATATGTATGTCTGACAAAGGATTTGTTTCCAGAATATATAAGTTCCTACAATTCAATAAAGAAAAGACAAATAGGTAAAAAAAAGTGGACAAAAGACTCAGACACATCATAAAAGATTTATATGAATAGCCAATAAGCACATGGACAAGTTATCTACATCAATGATATCAGGGAAATGCAATTAAAACTGCAATGTGATACGAGCTCATATCTACAAGAATGAATAACATTTTGAAAAGTGATAATACTAAGTCGCTGGCATGTAAAACAGCTTGAGAGTTCATTCATTGCTGGTGGGATCATGAACTAGAGTAACTATTTTGGAAAACTGGTAATTTCTTATGAAATTAAACACCTACCAGCAAACTGACTTCTAGGTATTTACCCAAGGAAAATGAGACATATCCTTGAAAACACTTATACAAGAATGTTTGTACCTGCCTTAATTGCAACAATCCAAATACCCATCGACAAGTGAATGGATAAATGTTCATACAGTAGGATACTAGTCAACAACAGCAAGAATAAGGAAAAAGGAACAAACCTTGGATATGTGCAAAAAAGTAAATGAATCTCAAAAACCTTATGTTGAGCAAAGGAAGCCAGACACAAAAGTGTACATACCATATGATTCAATTTATATGAAGGCAGAAGGAAGCTTTAGTGATAGAAGTTAGATGATTGGTCACCTGGGTGGGGATGGGGATTGACTGCCAAGGGGCATTAAAGACTTTCTAGGGGTATATAGAAATGTTCTATATCTTGATTATAGTGGTGGTTACCCAGGTATATACATTTGTCAAAACTCTTATCTTACCATGCATTTAAAATAAGTGCTTTTTATCATATGAAAATTATGCTAAAATTATACTTAAATTATATTGTAATCACAATACTATTGGGGATGAGTTAGTCAGAAGCATTGGGGTGCCTGGGTGGCTCAGTCAGTTAGGTGTCTGACTCCTGATTTTTGCTCAGGTCAGGTCATGATCTCAGGATTGCGAGATTGAGCCCAAAGGTCAGATGCAGAACCTACTTAACATTCTCTCTCTTCCTCTCCCTCTGGCCCTATGCCCCTGCTTTTCTCTCTCTGAAAAAGAAGAAGAAGAAGAAAGAAAGAAGAAGAAGAAGAAGAAGAAGAAGAAGAAGAAGAAGAAGAAGAAGAAGAAGGAAAAGGAAGAAGAAGAAGAAAGAAGAAGAAGAAGAAGAAGAAGAAGAAGAAGAAGAAGAAGAAGAAGAAAAGAAGAAGAAAGAAGAAGAAGAAGAAGAAGAAGAAGAAGAAGAAGAAGAAGAAGAAGAAGAAGAAGAAGAGGTGTTTGCTGACAGCTTGAATGGAAAAAGATCCCTGCCTCACCACTATTTGCAAATTAATCATATTTTCCTTAGGTTGGAGACAGTTGTAAGGGGTAACCTACTTTCTTTTTGGTCACAAAGGACTTAAATAGTGGTGGATAAAGAAATATGTTTTACATTCTTTTAAAAAAAGCAAACAAGAAGAGTATGCACACACACACACACACAGACCACAAACCTCCTTTAATAACCTGTTTGATGACAGTTCTATCACTGTTGCAGAACATTCTGTTTCAGGTTTAATTTAAATCCCTCAAGTTGCATTGCACTCATCTTTCTTTTTGTCCTTTGGGAGATGGAAGCTTTCCCAATGCTGGGCATGCATTTCTCCTCTTATAATACAAAATTATCTTTCCTGGGTAGAGTTTTAAGGCTGGAGTTGTTTGTAAGTATGTAGGTAACCCCTAGTCCAGCTGTCCTACAATACTCTCCTATGGCCTACATACATCATTGAGGGTTTTTTTTTAGGGTTTTTTTTAAATTTAAGATTTTATTTTTAAGCTATCTCTATACCCAACACAGGGCTCAAACTCACAACTCCAAGATCAAGAGTTCCATGCTCTAGTGACTGAGTCAGCCAGGTGCACCCATTATTGAGATTCTTTTTTTTTTTTTTAAACTTTTTTTTTTAATTTTTATTTATTTATGATAGTCACAGAGAGAGAGAGAGAGAGAGAGAGAGAGAGGCAGAGACAGAAGCAGGCTCCATGCACCGGGAGCCCGACGTGGGATTCGATCCCGGGTCTCCAGGATCGCGCCCTGGGCCAAAGGCAGGCGCCAAACTGCTGCGCCACCCAGGGATCCCCATTATTGAGATTCTTAAAAAATTTGGCAGAACAGTCCTGGGGTCTTGAGGTCCATGACCTCGGTGTACTCCCAGGTGGCTTGAATACACTGACACGGCCTTTCCTTTCCTTCCACAGGAAATGCTGAAGGATGAGGTGCGGACACTCACCTACCGGAACTCCATGTACCACAATAAGCATGTGTTCAAGGACAAAGTGGTGCTGGACGTTGGGAGTGGTACCGGGATCCTTTCCATGTTTGCTGCCAAAGCAGGAGCCAAGAAAGTGTTTGGGGTGAGCATGCCACTCCCTCCTGCCCATTGGCTGCCTTTTTTTTTTAAGATTTATTTATTTATTCATGAGAGACACACACACACAGAGAGGCAGAGACACAGGCAGAGGGACAAGCAGGCTCCATGTAGGGAGACATGGGACTCGATCCCAGGACCCCGGGATCACACCCTGAGCCAAAGGCAGATGCTCAACCGCTGAGCCACCCAGGGGATCCCCTGCCCACTGGCTTCCATAGAACCAGCCCCTCATTGCCTTACATCTTCTCCTGTCCTTCCTACAAGTGCAAACCCAGGGCCATCCCTTGCTGGGGCCATACCCTCGAGGACAAGTAAAGAAAATTAAATGTGACTCTCAGGAGGTGGGGGCAAGCTCCCATGGCATTGGTCCTGGCTCCTTGCCCTGACAAATGCTGACATTTACAGAGGATTTTTGACTTTCTGGAAATCATTCTGGTCATGATTACCTTAGAACACTTAGTCCTACCATCAGCTTGAGAAGCAGTGCAGTGTGGTTATATGTGTGAGCTTTGGCTTGAATCTCTGCTCTGTGTGACTGTACCTCACTTTCCTCATCTCTAAAATGGCCATAATAACAATACCTCACCCATGGAGTGATCGTCTAGAATGAATGAATTTAATACATATGTAAAATGCTTAGAACAGGGTCTGGCATATGACTAATGCCCAGTGTCTAATATGAATATAGTTGGGATGAGGCCCTAGGGGATAAGAACAAGATAATCTCCTTCCTTTATCCTTTAAAAGGCAAGTTGGTAGGTTTAAATTCTGCTACTCTGGCTGCTGCAGCCCCTCCAGATGGAAATGGAGGCTGACCCTCTGGGAAGCCTCCCAGCTTTCCTCTGGCTCCCACTACACAGCTGTGTACTGCCTGATGACAGGGAGGCTGGGGGGTCTGGAGCTGGGAAGAAACCCTAAAAAAGAAGAGCCCCTGAGTGGCTGGCTGATATTTGCAAAATGCAGAGGGTCCAAGGCTGGAATATGGGAATTAGTCTTGATCAAAATTTAAGACACACTACAATTTAGCTCCCAGCATGTGCATGAGACAGCTGTTTGCAGAGACCCATGGGAGCTGAGCAGCTCTTGGTGGGGCTTTGTTCCCTGTGCATTTAGCTGCATTGTCCTGTAGCCTGTGCTGACAGCCCCAGAGCTTCCACATCCCCTTGGCTACCCCTCACTTGGCCTCAGAGGCCTATCCCTGAGTCCCCAGGAGGGACAGTGTTCCTCCTCCATGCCTGGCTTAGAAAGTGTCTGGGCCTTGGCTGTAGAGGGTCTTCTAGAAATGCAGGCCATCCTCAAGGCATCTCCACCACAGACTTGACTGGAAAAGCTATGGGGTACTCAGCTGAGGCACTCGCTAATTTGATAGGCCAACCCAGATGCCCCAAGTCAAGTCCTGCCCTCTCCACCTTCCAACTATCCTTCACTGTGCCTTCCTCACCAGAAGGGAGGCTTCCCAGCAAGGGACAGATTCCATGTCCAGTGAGGTCAAAGAGCCTCTAGAGGGGACTTGATTTTTCTGGCCATCCCCATGCTTTCCTTCCCAGCACCATCTCTGAGGCCTCTCCGCCCCCATCTGGCTGGGGCATGGGTAGCTGGGCTGCCCTTCACTGGTTTCCAAGTGGCCAGCGGCTCCTCCTACAAAGGCGCTGTCAGGAGGCGCCCACTTGGCGCCTTCCAGCTGTGGTGACTATCCCAACTGTCCCAATCTGTCTGCTTCATGGTCTTTTGCTGTCACAGCTCTTTTATAAACAGCTCCCACATTTAGCTGGGCCTCTTTCCTGATGGCTCATTTCACAGTTTCTCCTGTTCCAGGTTCCCTCTTCTACCCGCTGCTCTTCTCCAGAAAGAAAGAGCCAGGGAGAAAGAGGGAGAGAAGGAGAAAAGGAGGAGAGGAGAGAGAGGAGAAAGGGGAAGAGAGGAAGGGAGGGAAGGAGGGAGGGAGGAAGAGAGGAGAAAAGGGGAAAAGGAAAGCAAGATGGGAAAAGAAAGAAGGCTATAAGGCCACCAGGATGCTGGGGCTTGGGGGCCCTCTGCTCTGAGTGGTTCACATGCTTTGTCTTATTTAATCCTCCCAATGACCAAGTAAAACAGGGACTCTTTCCTCACTTATGAGGAAACTGAGGCACAATTGGAGAGTGGCTGAATGGGAATCCAGGCTGCCTGGCTCCAGATCATGCATTCCTCACTGTGAAACTCCACAGCCTCTTGCAGATGGATGCCAACATGGCGAGCAGGGGGAAGAATTGGAGCAGCACAGTCCCAGAGAAAGTGGGATCAGAGGCCACAGGAAAGGGCCCATCCTCTTGGGCTCTGAGCCTGATGGAGGTCTATCTTCTCTGATGGAACCATGCCTCCTGACCCTGCAGGTGCCCTTACCCCTCCCCAAGACTTTGATGGAGGCTGCAAGCAGCTCCCTCCAGTGCTCCAATGCAAATACTCTCCCGGAGGCCCTGGGGACAGTCTGAGGGGGGTCCGGAGTGTGGAGGTGAGTGGCAGCCTCTGTGGGGGCCAGCTGAGGAGGTGAGAGCAGCTGTTAACAGCTGCCTCTTTGGCTCCAGCATCCTCTGGCCCTCCCCTGATACATGCCCCAGGCTGGGGCTTGATCTCCCACTATTCCCACAAGGCCCCCTCTCAGCTGCTGGTCAGCTCATTTCTCACATATCTTGGCCCTTCGTTTAGGAGATTTGGGGAGTTTGGAAAGACTTGGAGATTAAAAGAATTAATTATCTCAAAGGTGGGCACCACAGAAGGGGTGAGAGTTAGTGTGTGACCTGTATGGTGGGATGAGTCTCAAGACTGGCCTTGAGGCCTTGATGTGGCATTTCTCTATCCTGGAATTGGGAGGTGGGAAGTAAGAAGAGTAAGGTCCCTGGACACTCACAGCAGTTCTGGCTATGGCTTGCCTTCCCATGTCCTCCTCCAGGAGGACCTCATCACATTCTCCTCTGGCCAGGAGGAGGCCTGCCAGCTTCTTCTGAGTCTCCCAACTTGAGGCCGGGCCCTCCATTGTGAAGCGGTGGCTGAGAGTCACGCTCATGACAAAAGCAGACAGATTCAAATGCAAGAGCCACTGGCCTGCTGATCAGGAGGGCTGTAGTTTTCAATTTGTCACAAAGTAATGATATGGCTGTGGGCAGGTCACAGTACCCCCTTAGGCTCAGCACCTCCATCAGGTAAAATGGTGCTAGACATGCTATGATCTTTTTTTATGCCTCGCTCCTTTGTTCTGTGCTCTTTCTAGATCGAATGTTCCAGTATTTCTGACTACTCAGAGAAGATCATTAAAGCCAATCACTTGGACAACAGTAAGACATACCTCCACATATTTTCCCATGGATGCAGGGGGTGAGGGGGCTTGCACTTTCTTGTTTGCGTAGTACAGACTGACATAAGAGGGAAGAGTACAAACACTTGGCCTTGGGATGGTGGAGCCCAGCTGAAGCCCTATTTGGAGGACTGTATACAGGGTTCCAAGGTTCCCCATCCCAGCCATGTCAGCCAAGGGCACGTTATTCCCAGCTCAGCTTCCATGGCTTAGCCACTATTCCTTCTGCTTGGCCCCAGCTGGAGGCATTCTATTGAGTTTTGCAAAACAGCAGCTATTCTTCCTCTTCTTCCCTCTCTGTAACCCCCAGCTCTACATCTCCCCAACGGCCAACCAGGGGCATTCTAGCAGACCCCAGGCTCTGCCTTTGGAAGAACGCAATCCTCTACTGCTCAGGTCCTCTATGGCCCTGTTGCTTATGATGCTGTCTTGGCAATTAAGCTGCCCTAAGGAATGGGACCTTCTCCAAGTTGGAGTCTGGTTATAAAGAGAGGCGCCCTCTCTTCCCTTCTTCCCCTCACTCCTTTCCCATGATTGCAACATTTCCCAGGCCTTTCCTCCTGGAACCTAGCTTGAACACACTCACACCACAAGTGTCTTCAATCCAAAGAACTCATTGCATCTTTTATCAGTCAACCTGATGAGATTTAGCTCCCAAGTCCTATGCTGAGCTGGGCCAGGTCATGTAGGATTTGTAAACTAGGAAAACAAAGTTGAATTTTTTTTCTAATGGTGGTTGGAGGCATTTGGGAGAACTTGATGCAAAGGAGAAGTATTTTCTATGGAGTATGGATAAGAATGGTTTGTAGGCAGCAAGAGTGTAAGCAGAGACACATTAAGGAGGCTATTTCAGTGCTCCAAGGATGTACTGTGGCATGGATAGTGGCAAAGGTGGTGGCAGTGGAGGTTAAGAAAAATGACCACTTTAGGCTAGAGGCAGGGGACTTGTTGATGGAATGCACATGGGAATGATAAAAAAGACAGGAGCAAGGGCTATCTTGCCGCCTTGAGTAATGGGTGGGTGGTGGAAGATTGAAAGTAGAGCATTCCTAGGGATGATAGGACAGAGAAAGAAATCAAACGTTCTTTTCAGCACATGTCAGGTTTGAGATGGACATCAGTAGATGTGTCAAGTAAGACTGGATATATGAGTCTGCAGTTCCAAGAAGAGCCAGAGTGTGGGATATACAACTGGGAATATTCAGCATTTGGATGTTATTTGAAGCTACAGAATGACATCGCTTAGGAAAAAGTATAGCTGGAAGAAAGGAATGGGCCAAATATAGGGCTCTGGGGCATTTTAACATCTGGAGGTCAAGAAGAGGAGAAGGGGCCAGCAAGAGGCAGAAAAGATACACCTAGTGAGGCTGATGGGCATTCAGGAGAGAAATGTACCATGAACCCAAAGGAAAGAGGAAGGGACAGCTGTAGAGGATGCTGAGAGATCATGTAAGGTAAGAACAGAGATGTGACCATTGAGTTTGGGCATATGGAGGTTACTGGTGTTCTAAACAAGAGCAGACTCAATGTAGAGGTAGGGACTGAAGTCCAGTTAGATAGGTTAAGGACACACCGTGAAGGGAGAGCTATAAAGTAAGTTTTCCTGCTGTATTGGGGAACAGAAAAATGGAGCTGTAGCTACAGGGGGATGTGGGTCCCTGGCAGAGAGTTGTTTTTGAAGGATAGAGATATGGAAATGTGTGATTCAATTGTCCAGTAGACAGGGAGATAAAGGAAAAAGATACAGGAGTGAGGCCCTTGAGTTCAGAGCACAGGTGCAGAGGTTATCCTTTTCCTTGGAGTAGGACCACTTGAACCACAGAAACAGAAGGAAAGTGGGGAGTGTGGGTCCAGATAGAAGTGAGGTGGTGGTGGAAAGCCTCTGGTTTATTGCCTCCTTTTCCTTTTTGATGAATAAGACAGTTACTGGCAGAGAAGAGGGGGATGAGAAGAGACAAGAGAAGGGATGGAATGGTCTTTTAGAAGGAGGGAGGAAGGCAATACAATAGTAAGACTAGTGGGCATTGCTGGGGAATGGTCAACACCTGCTGGAGGAGTCAACATAGACAGGCAGGAAGCTTAGTCCACATGCGAAGTCCCCCTTACCATGCTCACCAGCTTGAGTGTAAGGAGGGCTTCCGGGGTGGGGACTCTGACAGGAGAGCACAGAAGCTGATTTCAATAATGGGTCATGGAATCTAAGCTGGGTAAGGCAGGAAGTGAGGAAGGGAGGGGGTGATGGTGGATGAGCGACATTAAAACGTTAGGGGTATTGGTGGACAATAAGCAGAGGTCCAGAAGCCTCTTTCCAGCCTGAGAAGGGGAAATGTTGCTCAGATGCGCCTGACCTCTGGCTTTGGTGTCCAGTCTCTGTTGGTTCGCTCATGGGAGTGAGCTGTTTTGTACTCTCCTCAGAATGTACCTGACATGGTCAGACGAGCGAGGTGAAGTCTCTACCTACCTACCAAAGATGAGAAAAGAAACTGGCCAGTTCTTTCTCTGTAATGGTGAAACAGCCCGACATCCACATGTTTTCATCTGCTAGCCCTTCCTCCAGCTCTGTACCGCAGGCAAGAGGCTTTCCCTTATTTAGCAGATGTGGAAGCTGAGGCTAAGAGAGCTGAGCTAGGGCAGAACCTGTGGTCTTGGCTCTTGCTCCTGTACTCCCTCCCAAAGTGTGTGTGCCTTGATGTGGAAGCCGCACCAGTAGCTGCCAATCCTGAAAATGAAAATTAAAACCTTAGGAGAGGAGAGTGGGTGCAAATAAATATCCACTCAGACATTCTCTCAGCCCTATCCCTGGGCCCTAAGGGACCTTCGAAGGACGTGTAGACCATTCCCTGCCTCTGTACAGGTTCACTTGGGCAGTGATGCCTGCCCTTGGAGAGAGGCTGTGCCCAGCCCCCTTACTCTTTATCCATCTCTTGCTGCCAGCTCTTAGGCTTTAGAACCATAGTGCCCCTGGCTTGCAGAGGGTGGCTTCCCGCAGCCACTGGTTGAAGTGGTGGGCCTGAGTTGGAAGAGGGGACGAACATTAGCTGAGGAGTGCCTGACCTCAGGAGGAGGGCAGGTTGGCTCTGTTGCCAGGAAAAAGAAAGCCCACAGCTCCTCATCATGCCCTCTGGCTCACACCTGAGGGACCTCCCCCTCCCCTCCCCTCCTTTGCTTCAGACTCCTGTACATTGTTTTATTCCCCTCCCTTTCCTTCTTCACCTCTTTCCTTTAACCCTCAGAACATTCCAATCTATAGAAAAGGTGCGAGTTCCTCTTTTTCTGAATGCTTTGAGAGCAAGTTGTTGACATGATGCCCCAACAGCCCTGAATACAGGAATGCACGTGTCCTACAAGCAGGGACATTTCCCTGCAGAGCCACACAGTGACCATCAAGATCAGGATACTAATGTTCTTGCATTGTCATTATCTAATGCTCAGATCCTACTCCTGCCTGCCATATGTCGAAATAGCATCCTTCACAGCAAAAGGATTCCATTTCAAACCACATGTAGCATTTAGTTGTCACATCTCTGGTTTACTTCAGGCTGGAGCAGCTACATCCTCCTCAACTGTTGTCACCTTGATGCTTGAGGATTAAAGGCCAGCGTTCTGTAGGATGTCCCTCAGTCTGGGGGCATGGGATGCTTCTGCACTGACCAGTTCAGCTGAGATGCTGTGCCCTTCTCCCCGCACATTCTTGGGGACGTGCAGTTTGGCTTTGTCCTGTCACTGACAGCATTGACTTTGATCACTGATTAAGGCCATGTCTGCCAGGCTTCTCCATGGTCAAGTTGTTCCTTCTCCTTTTGTAATTAGTTAAGATTTTCTGGGGGAGGCATTGAAACCATGTAAATATTTTGTTCCTTATAATTAATTTCTTATTTTATTCAAAAGGTTATATCTATTATTATAATACTTATTATGATACACAAACTATTCTTAATTTGGTCATAGGACCTCCTTTCAATCTGGCCTCTGCATCCTTTTGACATTCTTCATGTTTTTGTAAGCTTTCTCATTTGTTGGCACAAATGTTCCTGGCTCATCTTTTATTTTACATGGCTTTGTTTTAGAATCAGTCATTTCTCCAAGGAGTCTTGAGTTCATTTAGTGGACCATGGCGTTTTAAAAAATAGGATCTGGGGCTAAGTGTGCTCATTAGTTTTAGCACATGCACACACACCTTTACACAATGTGTGTTTCTGAATCTATCTATCTATAGATACTGTCAGGTGTGAGTTCACCTGATACCCCAGCTCTAACCAGCACCACAGGGTACTCTAACTTCCTTCCTTTCCATGTTGGAGATTCCTTTCTCTGATAGTGAAAAACCTGGCCCCCACTATTCTTAATATGTTTACTTATTGAATCAATCCCCCCATATGCGTGCCATATCCCATTGTCATCACCTCCTACCCTATGCAGATGTGTCTGTCACCTGCATAGGCACTCTCCTGTCCCTGCACAGACTCCAGTTTGCCGAGCCAGGCCATTTCCTCTGCCAGGACCCTCTCGCCCCCTTGGACTTCACCCTATCACCACCTCTTCATTGGGATGCCTTGCTTACCAGCAGTCAGGCTCTCATGTGCTGTGCAGGGCTGCCCTCATTCTGCTCAAGCTTTAATCCCCCAAGCTGGCCCCAGGTGGCAGCCACACACACCTCTTCCCTGGGGTCCCTGAACATCTGGTTTGCTCAGTCTCACCTTATGGCTTTAGGATGGAATCATTCCATGCTCTGTATTTTGATGGCTCACACTTGACTCTATGCTAGTGAGCAAAAGCCCAAGAGGGACAAACCATTGTCCCCAAGTAAACAAACCATTGTCCTCCCCATGCCTCATACCTGGTCCTACCCCTCATACCCAGTGTACTGAAGAGGAGGGAATGCCAGGACCAGGGGCCTTTACAAGGCAAAATTGTTCCCACTTCTTCCTTCCCGGGCATTACAACAGGCGGGTGGAGCTGGGGAGGCCACCCAGGGCCCCG